GCATCTCCGCCCCTCCTGACATTCCACCTGCCTGACACTCCACCTGAACGTCTGACCAAGTTTCCAGATCGAGGCTGGCACCACTACCCGCCATGGCACCAATGACGGTCGAAGAGCTGCAGCAACACCCCGAATTCAACCACACTATCTGGGATCTCAAACCAGAAAAGAAAGGCAGGGCCGTTGTGGCCAAAGACCGTGGCGGTCCCCTTAACATCGCTTACGAGGTCCACGGCCATGGCGACAGACACCTCGTGGTAAGTCGCCCCACTTTCGGTATTAATATCTGCTCCAACATGATGCGCTGCATATCACGCCAAAGAAAGCTTGTTCTTGACCGGGATACATTTGTAATGTTCCTCTTCTACCAATCCACGGGTACCGGCACCCTGTCACCGTTTCGTTTCAGTCACAATGACCGTCTCAACTCGTCTGTGTCGTGTCTCAGGTTGTCCAACTCGCACACTTATACATTTCACTCTATAGCCGCTTCCGGCATCTTCCGTATACACCATTATCGTGAAGACTCGACGACTGACGCCATGTAGTGGGTCATGGGCCTTGGTGGCATGAAGTACGCATGGCAGCGCCAGACGAAGGATTTTGCCCACAACAAAGGCGACCAGTATTCGTCGCTGGTGACTGACAATCGGGGCATTGGCGACTCTGACAAGCCCACGTCGAGATACTCCACCTCTGCCATGGCTCAGGACCTGGTCGAAGTGCTCGACCACATCGGCTGGACCGGCAAACGTGAATTGCACGTCATTGGTATGAGCATGGGTGGAATGATAGCTCAGGAGATAGTAAGTCGACCACATTTTCCTCGCCATGATCTTCGACTCGGAAGCTACACGTTCCGTTATCGAACACAAATCCTCGACATGTAGTCGCCAGAAACATTTCTCTGGACTTCTGACACCCAGCATCACCCTGTAATCTCATCGGCGCTTTCATCTTCCGCTCCGCTCGATTCTACCCCACCCCCACGTGTTCGATAGTAGAGCACATATGATCTCCGGTCGTGTATGTCGATCGTGGGGGATGCGGCGAAATTGCCTATTGCGGACAGTCGTCATGCCTTCACTACATATAGCCACTAACAAACATCTAGGCTATGTTAATACCGGAACGCATATGCACACTGTCGCTAGTATCGACAGCCGCACAACTGTTCCGAACAACCGTACGTGGCACTATATCACACACCTTTCATCTACTCACACCCCCAGGGCTTCCTCGAAAACCTCATCAATCGCGCGAACCTCTTCATCCCGAAGTCCCTTGACGCCCAAATCGAGGGCGTGAAAAAGAATCTCTACACGCAGGAGTGGCTCGACTCGCCCGACACGCTCGAACCCGTCGTCCAAGCCTTTCCCACGAACGGGGACCGCTTCGCCGCCAACGAACTCTGGAAGCGACAACACCCAGAGTACTTTGGCAAGGCGGCCTTCATGCTACAAGCCATTGCCGCGGGGTGGCATCACAAGAGCCCAGAACAACTCCAACAGATTGCGACAACCGTTGGCAAGAACAGAATTATGGTCGTTCACGGGACCAAGGATCGTATGCTGACGTTCCCACTGGGCGTTGTGCTTTGGCGTGGATTGGAGAAGGGCGAGGGTGTGACGGGCAAGGAGAACTGGTTAGGTGTCGAAGAGGAGGACGATGTTTGGCAGGAAGGTGAGATTGAGAAGCATTTTATCAAGGGTCAGGGGCATATGTTGCCTGCGGAGATGAGGGAAGAGTTTAATGGATGGATCGAAGGGCTGGTGGAGAGGGGGATTAGGCTGAATCGAGAGGAAGGTTTGTAGAGTATTGCCAGACAAGGTTGGTGTTGCATCAGCCCTCGTCGCAATAAATATGCACATAACCGTCTTTCGCCTTGCAATTCTCTCGTAATACAAGTCGATTAAGTTGCCCATACCCTCAGAGAAAAAGAATACAATGATTCGCAAACCACCGGCAACACCATATACAACAATACAAAACGTACTCGAATGACATGTGATCTATAACGTCGCATACCGTACATCCCGACCAGGACCTCGGCACATGAATGGCTGGGCGGGGTATGCCGACATCACCACTCGGCATCACCACTCCATTATATCTCTTCAATCAACATCACAATTTGGAAGCACATGTAGTAAGCAAACTGCTAGAATCTAATCAAGCAAATATGGCTCCTCTGATACATCACCCACCGGTCGTCTTGTTCGGCTATGACTGTGAGCACGCTGCCATCCATCCCATCACATAAACTGACCACAGCACAGCAAGTCCATTTACGAACAAAGTCAAACTGACCCTCCGCATCAAGCAAATCCCCTTTTGTAAGCCTCTACCATCCGCACCACTATCCTATCACCATCCTATCACCATCCTATCACCATCCTCACTAACCACACCCAACCAAGCATACATCCCCGTCCCCTCCATGCTCCCCCGCCCCCTCATAACCTCAACCTTCGGCCTCCAATACCGCCGCATCCCCATCCTAGCAATCGGACGACACATCTACTGCGACACCAGTCTCATCATCGAGGCTTTGGAGCACTTTTTCCCTGCAGATCAGGGTTGGGGTACTGTTTATCCGGAAGCCCAGGGGTTGGGAGTAGGAAAGTGGGCGTATAGGGCGATGGCGAGGGGGTTTGCGGGGTTTTGGACGGATGTAAGTTGTGGTTTTGTGGTTTTGTTTTCTTTTAGACGGGGAAAAAGAGGGGGATGGGGAGGGGAAGGGAAAGAGGAAGTGTGGGTGCGGTGATCATGTGCTGATTTGACGACAGAAACCCCTCTTCCGCACGACCACAGGATTCATCCCCCCCTCAGTCTGGTCCTCAGATTTCGGCAAAGACCGCGCGCAACTAATCGGGCACCCTATCCAGCCCGAAAAGCTGCAAGCCAAAATCCCAGACAACCTCTCGCTTCTGGACATGCACCTCTCGATGCTGGAGCCGATGTTCACGTCTGCAACGTGGGCGATGCCGACGCAGACGCCAAGTTTGGCGGATTTGAGTTTGTATTATCAGGTACGGTGGGGTATGGATATTGGGGCTGGGAGGGGGATTGGGGATCTGAGTGGGGGTGGGGCGAGGGATACGGATGGGGAGGAGGATGTTGTGGGGTTGGTGTTTAATGGGGAGAGGTATCCGGGGTTGATGAGGTGGTTTGGGGCGTTTGAGGAGTATATTGAGGGCCTGCCTGATACGCAAGTAATGGTGCAGAAAGGCGATGTGCAGTGGAAGGAGGCGCTTCGACAGACGCCTTTGCTGAAAGATGAAGAGCTGCTGGTTCCTACGGCGGTTGCGCCGCATGAGGTGCTTGATACTCGGAGAGGGATGGTACCGGGGGCGATTGTGAGTGTTGTACCAGATGACACTGGACGCGGCAACCCTACGAAGGGCACGTTGGTGAAGATCGGAAGCGAAGAGGTCGTCATCAAGCCGGCTGAGGAAGCTGAGTTGGATGTAAGAATCCATTTCCCGCGTCTAGGGTTCATTGTAAAGGTTCCGAAGGGAAGTAAAATGTAATGAGTCTGCCGATACTGGTGTCAGGAAGCTGTCGTAGTAACTTTGTAATGGCTGCATCTGAAGCTCAGATTATAGTAAAATAGATAACCTACATCAATGACCGGCAGATCAGGCCTTTGTGATACTTTCGTATCGTTCATCTTGAATTAAGCGAAAGCATGATGCGGACGAAGAGAGCTATCAAATTCCATGACGTCGATACTGGAATGAGGATGTTTTATACAGATCTCAGTATACGGGCGATGATAACTTTCCAGATGTTTGCATCATGTGGTGTGTTTTCAGCAGACTAGGTTTTGAATATCGTGCCATTGACCAAGGATAAGAAGACATACACTATGAAGTTGTTCGGATTATGATGAACACCTGTCTTTGATCTTAGATTGCCCCATTCGCCTTGAGGACACCAATGGGCAGGCTGATTGCAAATACCACCATGACAAAGCAAATGAATATCGCTATGCCGTTCCTTGACAAAGAAGGCTTCGTCTCAATGTAGAGACCCCAGCCTGTGACATCACTTCCTGGAATTGCCTTGAGTTGCCCCGGGAGTCTGCGTTTCGGAAGCTGATCAAGGACCGTTCTTTGACCAGCTGCAATAGCGTCAGGATAGAGCAAGTCTTGCCTCAGCATGTTGGGACCAAGAACTGGCATCACCCGCCGATTTCGAGATCCTGGAGCTGGGGAGCAAATGTATTCTTTGTCGTTCCCAACCATATTCTCCGGTGGAAGACAGGTACAGTAGAATCCAGAATCTGGATGGTAACGCCCGTTGGTTAAGACTTTACACGTACTTTCATGTGTATAGACCACAGTGTTGTTATTGTAATCGAACGTGAACTGAAAAATAGTTAACGCAAGTAAAACCTTGTACATGCTCAGAACCTACCTTGGCCAAAGTGATGCTCTTGAGGTTTCTCCAAGTTACCCAATATTGTCGGACCGAAAGCCGCTTTCGAAGGTGATGGAATAGTTGACGATCGTCCCTAATATCTTGCAGATCCTCCTGCGTCAACTTCAGCGTCGTTTCATGGTTCAAACAGACCAGCAGACCAAGATGCTCCCGCCCTGGAACTCCAGATTCACGTGCAAACGTTGCCGTAGCATCAACCAGGCGGGGTACACCAGAACGAGTTTGCAACTCGCATCCTCCGCGTTCGGCTTCCGAATCTGTTATTTTCCCATCTCCACCCTGCCGGCTTGATACACGCAGGTCACGTGCGAAGATCCAGGATATCTCCTTTGTGGCAGTCTTGTATCGTGTTTGCAGCTCTTGTTCGAGCTCCTTTACAGCGCCATGGTCTATGTCCACGTAGTAGTCGTACATGCGCTTATCACGCTAATATGAATGTCAGCGTATTGTAACAAGAACCGTGAGATAAACTTACGGATTCCCAATACACAGCGACTGCCTTTCTAGGCGCTGTTGGTTCGGTTGTCCCTTGGTTCGGTTCAAATAGAACTAAGTTACTCCTCGAGATATTTGATGAATTGGAAGCACCTGGAGATTCCTCGAGAATCGGTGTTACATGGTCTTTCATGTTGAACGAAGCGTAGTCTCGAACTTCGACATTTGCGATATCACTGTTGATACCTCTGAGTCCCCGCGTAAAGTCTCGATTTTGAGTGATGAACAGGATCGACCCGTTGGGCGATATTGGAAGAAAATTGGAGAGTTGTTGCACGGATGAAATCGGATCCGCTGTTGCGTGATTTCGCGATATGCGTGAGACGAAGAAGGTGTCGGCATCTTCAGCGTTGTCAACCACCATTGTCCATTGCCCATTTGCGATATCGCATAGCCATCTATGCACGATTTGACATATGTCGACAGAAGGATCGTTCCAGTGATTTATCTTCGCCGCCGCGGCGATTGCATTAAAACCTTCTCTGAAACTTGCGCGCGTCTCTGCGTTGATCCAAAAAACCCATTTCGTTGGCGTCTGGTTTCGGACTCGGTAGGCGTACTCGATAGCGACTCGGGTCTTCCTGAAAGCCAATTTAGCGCCCTGTCACTACTTAAACACGGCGGAACATACCCAACGCCTGCGGGCCCAATCAGGGATGCCCAGCCAGCATTCTGGGAGCATATCTGATACACCTTCTCCAAGCAATCGCCATGGTGGAATTCGTTTTCGCGGCGAAAAGGAACCGTCCATCGAGGCACTTTGTTGTGTAGCGATCGCTCAGCTTCATCACGCAACCGCGTCAATGCTCTTGCGGATCCCTCACCGTATATTAGCGGCATGTAGACGCCACACAAACCCAATAGAGAATATGCTGAATCCTCTTCTCTCTTCGTCTGGCGTCCCTCGATCCATGATATGCGATCCTCGATGCTGAAATCTTCTAGTGAACCGCTCTGAAGTGCCAGGACAGGTATCCGGGTTCGAAGGTGGAGAGCCTGTAGCAGTGTGACCTTGCCCCCTAGTGGTTTTCCTGTCTTCGAGAAGAATTCAACCACTCGTGGCGCAAGCATCTCTTGCAGTGTCCAACCTCGCTGAAACCATCTACTGCTGTGGAATATTTGGACCCATTGTTGTTGAGATATGTCTTCGACCGGTACATCGATCTCCACGTCTGAGAGTAGGACATAGCACTTCTCCGCCTGCTGATACCATTTGAACATGGAATTGATGGCCTCGGTCAATTCAGCGCTACTGCTCTTGTCAATGCAGCATGTGTCCACCCAGAAGAACTCTAGCTTGTCGCTAACAGCGCGCTCAGAACAGAAGACGAGCTTGTTATAACCAGGAATAGCCTTAGCTTTCTCGTCTCTCAGATCAGAGAATGTGACTTCATCTTCGTTCGAACCCCAAGTGTGCGATAGGATTGCGTAGGGCGGGACTTCCTCCTTGAATCGCTCAACAAGGCTGAAGCCGACGGAGTCAGACGAACGTTGTAGGAGGCGCATGGCGTACTAACGTGGGAGGGCGCAGAGAAAGTTACGCCGATGGAACAGAGTGCTGCATTTGAACGAAATGAGGTGTTCATGTGATACTGCCGCCTGGAGGGGTGGATTGAAATCGTCTAAAAGGACCAACAAGGCTGGATATAATCGTTTCGCTGCGGTCAGACAGCCTGAAAAAGAAGGCCTCAAGCCTGCCTGACACAGCCACCCCCTTATGATTGCAGACGTATCTGTCTGCCTGTTGCAAGGCTTTCAACACCAGGCTATGCTGCGCAAACCATGTTTTGTGGCTAACAGAGCGACGCACTGTCTCCAAATCGTCATAGTGACACGCCGGCGTGGGATAGAGTCAGTAAAGAGCTAGTTCGAGGGGGCGTGGGTTAAAAAGGCCAGTGGTATCGCAAGGTGCGTAGTGACCACGCGGCTCAGCTCAACGCACGGACCCCAGACCTCTTTAACCCGTAAGCTGCAGATCTTACTGGAGAAGTGTTCTTTGGGTTGGTTGTGTCTGCATGGTATGATCATCTGTTCGAGGCAAGCAAATTGCCAGACGCCTGGAACAATGCATCATGGTACTGCATATTAGAGTGTTCTCAGGCTCAGCCATTGGCCTGGCAAACGCCGCGAAGCCATCATAACCTGTGAGTCGCTCTCTTTATTATTCGTTCATAACGTGTAACTTCTCAGAGATCTCAAGCCCATCTAGCAGCGGTAGCTTGTCAGCCTTGGCTGGTAAAGAACATCCCATGATGCCACGAAGCTGTCGTGCATGCAGCATCTTCGCATCGGTGCACGCGTCGTCATTCGAAGCTGCAAGGCTGTGCGACGTGAAGGTGTGCGCTAGTGGGGGCTCGAGCGGTGTGACGTATGTTCAGTCGGGTGTCGAGATTAACAGAACGCGCGCTGCACCCGTACGCAATCGATCAGGATGGAGGTCGTGGTTGAGGGAAGTAGGTAGCATGGCACGGATTAGTGGCAGCGGCAGCCCGGGCGTGACCTGGAGCCGTGTCCCGAACAGGATTAGCGCGTCAGTGCGCGATCACGTGGATAGCCTTGGAAGAAGCCATTGTTGGACGCGGCTATCCCACAATGCATGCCATGCTCCCCAAGAGTGTCGTGACTAGAGTAATGTCTTATGAAGATGCAGAACCTCAGTGCGATGCACATAATAGATCGTGGTGTGTCAGCACGAATCAGCAAATTCGACTAGATGCTGTATCTATCTACACACGGCAACGAGCTTTTGGGATTGAAACATGCTTTTGCTGTGGTATCAAATCATGTCCGTAATCTACCATAACTTGTGACGCCAAACTCCATGACTATGTCGCAATATCATCCAATGACTGTCGGGAAAAGTCCTTTCTTATCGCAGAAGATACCATCTGTACCCTAGACGCAGTCCTACTCGTCAACATCCATAGCCTCAACACCGCCACCGACCTTCCTCTTCAGCATCTTCTTCGTCTTGGTCTTCTGCTTGGGCAGCTCCTCCTCAAGCTCACTGAGCTCGCTCTCCTCAGCCTCAAGCTCCTTCCTCCTAGCCGCGACCTTCTCCTTGACCTTCTGCACATCAACCTCCATCTCCTCCTGCTCAACCTCCTCCTTGGCGAACCTCTCGCTCGGCGGCAGCAAGTGCTGGTTCTCCTCGACCAGCTTCCTGTCTTCCTCACGCTGCCTCTGCTTGTTGCCACGCATGCGCGCCTTGTAGAATGCGCGCTCTCTCCTCTGCCGGATCTCGGATACACGGCCCATGGCCTTGAGAGTCGTCTGGATGAGGTCGCGGTTGTATCGCACGGGCACGTTGCGGCGCTGGGCGAAGGTGAGGGTCGAGTCGACGGTCATTTCCTTGTTGTGCGCGCGGCGGAAGGATTTGGTCCAGGCCAGCTTGCGGGGGTTGCGCTTCATTTTGAAGTTCTTGTGGCATTTGCTCTTGCAGAAGCGGAAGGCCTTTGCATCGTTGCGCACTGATGAGTCAGCAAGGATTTCTTTGGGGTGCGATTATTTATGCATACCAAAGGTTATACCCTTGGACGGGTATACCGGCGAAGAGCAGAAGTAGCAAGTCTCGATTCTCATCTTATCGTCGTGGCGCGAATGCGATCGCGCTCGTTCTTATCGTGGGTAGGTATGCGCTTTTCCGCGTCGCAGTAATTAGCAGCGTGGGCTGAGATCGGGATGTATAGGAATCGACCACGCTTCACTTAGTTGGCGGTGGTGAGGCGGGTGTCGTGTGAAGGTGTCGAGGTTGAGGTTCGAGAAGTTCGCCGGCTCGAAATTTTGGGTGGCCCGTGCGTGCCAACCCACCTGCCATTCTGGCCCGCCAATTGCGATGCTTCTCGACCGAGGCACCTCCGCAAATTTCCTTCTGACCACCTCGCCGCCGCCATCCACCTAAGCTTCTCCATCTGACGTATCCTCCCGCGTACCTCACATCGCGACTTCACACTACCCGTATACCGGACCTCCGAAACTGCATCGTTGAGCCCTGATAGTGCGACGAGATGTCTGCCTGGGTTTGGATCTTGGGCGCTGGTGCCACTGCTTTCTTCGTATGGCCTCCAATTTCCTTAGTCACGCCTCTATTTTGACTGGATCGGCAACTGCTGGAGTATCACAATATACTAGGAACGTTTACTGACACATATGGATAGGGTCGCGCAGCACTCGTAGCATTACGGAGATCAGGCGGTGGAGCCGGAGCACTAGGACGCGGATACTACAAAGGCGGCTTTGAGCCCAAGATGACACGGAGAGAGGCTGCTCTCATATTAGAGATGCCGTACGTCTCCCACGAACCCACATATCCCGCAAGACATACAGAGACTGACGAATCCCAGCGAGCGCGGCATTACGAAAGAACTATTACGGAAGAAGCACCGATCGCTTATGCTACTCAACCACCCCGATCGAGGCGGTAGCCCATACCTTGCGACCAAGGTCAACGAAGCGAAAGAACTACTTGAGAAGGAGGTCAAGGGTTGATACGATGGGCAAGAGGTGGATGATGTGAACCAAGACTTTGTACTATATCACGGCATGATTCTCAGCATCAGCATGGCGTTGGACTGAATATGATTAGCGATTTACGACTCTCAATACGGTTCTATCCTGTTCATGTTATACGAACTCGGTGAACTCCAAGCTTAGTGACTATGACAAATAGGTGTACCACTCTACATTTCATTACAGTCGCGAAGAGGTGCGCCATGAATACGGCGACGACGCTGACGAGGGACATGACAACCATATCGAAAAACTCAAAAACACGGAGCAAACGGTGTGGAATGGTAATGCGTATCGAAGGGCGAATACACATATGATCACGAGCAAGAATCGGAGTCTGAGCCAGAAGCGGGATCTAGGGATGAGCAAAAACAAGAGTCTGCGGTAGAGGAATCGTTGGATATGGATCTTGAGTCGGATTTTGATCAGATTGAGAGGTGCTTAGAGGGGATAAACTCATTCTATACAAGGGAAAATATGAAACAGGTTTGCAGACTACATTAGAACAAAAACTTACGAAATAGGTGACGTAATGTCGACGTAGGCTCTAGGGTGTTGAGCGTTTTCCAATATCAGCGTGAACTCCTCATTCACGATGTTTTCGCATGCGAATCGCATGAAACGAGGAAGCCGGGGGTAGCTCGTCATGTGATTGAGTATTGGAGAATGTGAAGAAGTCTTGATTCTTGGGCCAAATTTCAACAGCGCTCATGAAAGTCTGCCTTGGCAATGTGACAAAGCAAACACTGGTGTCATTTGATAGTATTTACAAAGCGCAAAGAAACACCTCAATCATTACCCTTACACCCATTCGTCCATCCACCCGCGGCCTTGACAATCTTGTTATTCGCCCAACACCTCGCACGCACCCAAATCGGTGTACTAAACGTCGCATACCACTCGTGCCCATCATGATCAGCCGGATTGTCAAAGTACTCGAACTTCCAAAAGGTTGTACCAAGGCCATAGCATCCATTCATGTTAGGCCGAAGAGTATCTTTTCCGTAATCCCAGGTCGAGAAGCCAGCACCCTCAACCTTGTAGCGTCCGTGAGTCCCCTTATACCAGCCCTCACAGCGACCATATGGCGCTTTTGGCGGCGGCCAGGGGCGGTTACTGCGGCGGGGATTGAGCTCGTACTTGTAGTCTCCGCCGCTGCGAATGTATCTGCCACCACCCTTCCAGTTCATGGGGTTGTCGGATGTGTCGCATGAGTTCATGATCTTCTTCATTGAGTCCACGCACTCGTCCTTGTCGAATCCCGAAACACCATTGCTGAGTGTGACGACGTAGTCGTGTTGTTCAGGTGTGCCTTCGTCGTAGGTCTTGGAGTAACTCCAGTTGATTTTGTTTTTGTCGTGCTTGTCTTGGACTTCCTTGCAGAACTCCTCGTAGTTCTCGTTGGTGCGGTTTCCACTGACGTAGAATTTGCTACCTGTCTTGGAGAAACATGTGAATTCGTCTTTGACGGCGGTGCAGGCGGGTGAGTCGACGCCCAGAACGATGGCGCGCAGGTCCATGAGTTCTGAGAGAGCGAAGGAGGCTATGGTCAGGTGGCCGGCTTCGTTGGGATGGAACTGCAAATGTCAGTCAAAGAACCTTGGCATAATTGTACCTAGATGCAGCTAGTACTTACGTTACGGCCAATTGTGTCGGGCATGCCCATACCAAAGGTCATATCGAAGCCACCATCCCCAGGGCAGCCTGGTGGTGAGGGAGCGCGGGCGTCGAGCTTGTGCCTGACGGCAGCACGTGGATCAGGTGACTTGTAAAGAATGGAGTCGTAGAGTGTACGTTCGAGGTTTCGATCGCGAGCCTCCATCATAGCTTTGATGCGATTTACCTGGCGTTTCTCCGAGTTGGAGAGCCTCGTCGAGTTCAGTATCTCCTCAAAATCCATGTCGCGCTTGCGTAGCTCTGACCGCTCGAAGTCATTTTGCCATTCATCCCAAGGGTGAGTGTCGGGCTTGATGAAGTGCATGTTCGGTTGCTTTGGA